GGAACAATGCACACTAAAGGAGAGGTAAAATATTCATCTGGGTGTGTCTTAGAGATAAATTCGTACCCGGACACCATTGTAAACTTACAAGTTAAGCTACATTCTGTACATACATTAGGTTTACCCACCACCGGTCAGCCCTTTCTTCACGACTACAGAAAAAATGCATAAAAGGACACTTACCGTAGACCCTCCCGGTGCCCGCCTCGACCACCTCTCCAGCCCTGGACGCATGCTCCGCCCTGTGGCCGGCCTGGGGGCGCCTGGCGTCCTGGTTTTGCCTTCCGCCCTTTTTACCTGCAGGGGAATGAGTGATCTCTGTCTCTTCTGAGGCATTCCCTCATGCAACAAGCTTTATAGAGGAGTGTGGGGATTTTTTTCAGGATTATGTTTCTTGTAAGGTTTAAAATGTTTAGGTATTGATGATCGTCTCACAGTAGTTTTATTTCGTTAATTTTTGTATTTATGGGTTCTCATAACGTTTCTTTGTCGTTTCTTTATCGCTCGGCCAGAAATCGCCTGCGTATGCATGACAGTCTTTATCAAAGTCTCGTCCACTCACCTTCCGTCAGAATAATGGTGTAGCTGTAGGCGTCGAAGCCTTCGTCCTTCTTGTGAGACCTCTGTCGTCGGGCGTTGGCGTTGTAGTCGGTGATGATGGTCGTGTTGGCCTCGACGTCCTCATCTCGACTCGTCGGAGCACGATGTCGGTGATGGCGTCGGTGGTGGTGGTCGCCCCTGAACTGGTGGCGACGGCGGTGGAGGGGGTGGTATTTGGGCAGCGCATCGAGGGAGGGCGCCTCCGAGGGCGCCGGCCGGTGGCGATGGCGGGCGTGGCGGCGGCGGTGATGGAAGAGGCGAGGCGAGGAACTCGCATCCGATTGCTCCGCCGTCGTGGCGTCATCTGCCGAGCTGTGAGAAGTCTCGTTGTCGTCGGCGTCTTCTTCGTCGATGATGGTCGTCAGAGTGAACTTCGGGAGAATGAGCTCCTCCTCGCTGGTGCTGTTGGCCGGGTCATCCTCCTCCTCCGCGCCGCCTTCGTGTAGGCGGTAAACCTTTCCCTCGTGGATCACCTCGCTCGTGTCGTTGGCTTCCTCCTCCCGGATGAAGCAGCCGGTGTTGTAAGCGTTGTCCTCCTCGTCCTCCGCGTGTCTCTTGCCGCCCTTTTCCACGTCCACCGCCTGAGGAAAGAGGGAAGAGTGCACTGTATAAGAAAGGTATTAACAGTAATAGCATCAGGGGAAGTAGCAGCAGTTGTAGTCGTAATACTAGTGGTTGTAGTTATAGCGGTAGTAGATAGCGTCGCAGCAGCAATATTATTTTGATATTAATAATTACAATTATCATTGTCATGCTAACAATAACATGAAGTTTACATGTGAATGCATTAAACAATTATAAAAATAAAAACCTGCACACATGTATTCATTGACGATATCAGTACTATTCCACTGCCAGACCACATTCTGTTTATTTCTCTGATTTGTATATTTTCACATAATTCACGATAGGTAATTATAATGTCGACAGTTCGAAGAAAATGTGGCAAAATATCCGATAAAAAGTTAAAACAGTACAGTCCCTTTACTAATATCATTCTGAATATAACTTATCCTAATCCCAGTAACAAATAGCCTGTAGCAAATCCAATTAGCTTAACCGGTAACCAATGCATCCAAGCCAAGCCTGGGACGCAGCCCAACACTGCAGCTTTCACCAACCTTGGTGGTCCAGCCGGGGCAGCACCTGAAGATGCGCAGCGTGACGACTTCTTCCTCGAAATGGGGGACTGTTTTGTACTGGGTCCTGGGAATGGGAGGGACACGGTGTTCATTAGACAAGTATTTTCCATAAATGCTGATGGTGATTGAATGCAATAGTGGTGATTAAGTGTATTAATGATAATCAATTGTGTTTTACATTATCTATTTTACTAATAAGAATAATAGTTATAATTGATAGCTATAATTAACTGCATTAAAAAGAATTAACAAAACAATCATGATTAACTGCAGTTACAAAGAAAAACCCGATGGTTACATGGCACTACGTAATCTGTTATGAACCATATTGTGAAAAATGTAGTCAGCTCTTCATCGCCTGTGATAATAGAAACGATAACCATACTAATAACCTAAAATATCAGTTAATTAAACTCATCAAACTTTACTCTCCATCGCCTTGAAATTTTCTATGCGCATAGAGCCATCTACATTTACAGTGAGCTGTAAATATGATGGCTTCATGTCAATAGACAACAACGCATAAGATTTAGCCATAACCGTTTCTTTAAGCGATGTACAAGAATCGCAGGCTTTTAGAGAATACATTTTCTACTATTGTTGGCAAAAAATCTAGATATTCATTACTGGATTTGATCTTTCCATTCCAAAAATAGAGTAGTTTCATCTATTAAAAGATATCTATGCAGTCAAAAATGGTAAATACCTTGGCATTTCAAGTGTGTAGGACGCGTGTTGTGTTCATAATGTGTAGCAGTTTGAAGGCATTACTGAATCTCTTATTTTTTCCACAAATAGATCAGGACCTACTAAAAAGCCATGTAATGTACCGAATAAACTGAAGAATTTAGAATCCATTTATCTTTCTTTGCACAGACATATACACGTATTGTACAGATATACACACATGCTCATACATACACCCACGTGTCTGTAGATAGAGAGAGACTGTAGGTAGACAGATAGATGAACGGATAGTGAGACATATAGAGATGAATGAATAGATAGAAAAAGAGATATAGTAGACAGGCAGACAGATGGACACAAACAGCATACATACACATCCAAAGATAAACCTCCATAAACATGACTCATGAACCGTATGTCACACCTCAGCATATCATGACGTCCAAAGTAAGTTGAACAAACACTTGGTAGACGTATGACATACAAACCTCTCATTAATTACTCATCTTACGTCAAAGCGCACGCCAAGAACAGCAAAACGTCAAGGCCAAAAAGTAATGCCACTAGGAGCCAGTGTCAGTTACAGGGTCACTGGCCTTTGTTATGGTGGCAACGCTGTTTCGTTCTTACTTATGGTGCAAGAATGCGAGGATAAGCCATATGTATTTTCCTTTGCTTGTGGGGCTTATATTTGTAATATGGCACTAATATAATCTCTCTCTCTCTCTCTCTCTCTCTCTCTCTCTCTCTCTCTCTCTCTCTCTCTCTCTCTCTCTCTCTCTCTCTCTCTCTCTCTCTCTCTCTCTCTCTCTCTCCCTCCCTCCCTCCTTCCCTCCCTCTCTCTCTCTCTCTCTCTCTCTCTCTCTCTCTCTCTCTCTCTCCCTCCCTCTCTCTCTCTCTCTCTCTCTCTCTCTCTCTCTCTCTCTCTCTCTCTCTCTCTCTCTCCCTCCCTCCCTCCCTCTCTCTCTCTCTCTCTCTCTCTTGTGTAGGCCTTCTTTCCAAGTTATTCTTACCAAGTTGTTTCAAGAGAAAAACTAAGTTCAGGGGGTCCCTTCTGTTATACATAAATTACGCAGGCTTTCAGGGACTATGTTTAGATCTCTACTATTGTTGGCAATAACAAAAAAAATACTATATGTATCTGGTTCTGTGGGTGTGAGTGTGTGTGTGCATGTGTCTGTGTATCAATAAAATAAACTAGTCAAGCAATAATAAATATATCAACTTAGACCGATTTACAGTCCCAACTAATGCATGACATTGCGTATCTACATGTGATATTGATTACTGGTTCTGATCTTTCTATTCCAAAGAGTAGAGTAGTTTTATCTATTCAAAATATATCTATGCTGTGGAAAAAAGTAAATACATTGGCATTTCTTAACTGATGCCTCTCATATGTATGAGAGGTAACTGTGCTCATACTCACTGTGTAGAAGTTTGAAGGCATTTATAGTGAGGCATAATTCTGACACACCCAACGTCATTCGAAAGACTGTTACATGTTTCAATACTTTTTTGATATTGGTATCGCGTCTTTGCCCTCTCGTTTATTTTGTGTTCAAAATGTCAAAGTCATCTTTATCTAATTTGATAGTTCTAGAGCATAATCATGTCACCTCTTTTCCTTCTAATGTAGTAACTCCTATTTTCTAAAGCCTATATTATCAACATCCCTTTTAAAATGTTGACTCCATACCACTGCACCGTATTGTAGAGTAGGTCTTGTGGTGGCTGTAATGATCTGCTTTACCATAGCTTCATTCACATATATGAATGCCCTCTTCATGTTTGCAATCATAAACAATCACCGCCAAGACCGAGCTTTCGTGTGTGTGTGTGTGTGTGTGTGTGTGTGTGTGTGTGTGTGTGTGTGTGTGTGTGTGTGTGTGTGTGTGTGTGTGTGTGTGTGTGTGTGTGTGTGTGTGTGTGTGTGTGTGTGCGTGCGTGCGTGCGTGCGTGCGTGCGTGCGTGTGTGTGTGTGTGTGTGTGTGTGTGTGTGTGTATGTGCGTGCGTGCGTGTGCCTGTGTATCAATAAGATAACCTAGTCAAGCAATAATAAATATATCAACTTAGACCGATTTACAGTCCCAACTAACGCATGACATTGCGTGTAACAATCCTGAACAAATAGCTTCATCTGACAGCGTGGCCAGCAGCGTAAATGAAGTGGAAAGTTTACTATCAGCGTCAGAAAAAAAATCTAGTTTAATATACCTGGTCCTAAAGCTGAAAAACATCGTCTTCCCTATTTTTCTGGGTATACACGAATATTGAGATAATTTGTTGAAAAAAAATGTATATTCTTGTGACGCTATTCATTCTGATAAAAGAGATAATTGGCAGAGGACAGAAACGGGTTCTCATGGATCTGGACCTTGCAAGACCAGCCTGTTGCATCATCAGTATCCAACGCAATACATATTCCTCGCGTATAGGCAAACTATGACGTAATTACTATTTCTTGGTTGAAGTATATTCGCTGATATCTTTCATAATATTAACATAGAATGCACAATAACACTAATGTCACGTCATATAAAAAAAAAAAAATCGAGAGACGATATGAAGAATTTTTGAAACCAAATATTGCAGAAAATCTTTCCTCGTAACCTGTCTTCGAGTCAAGATGATTTCTGAGATAACAGAAAGGTCCGTCAGAAATATGAATTTTTTAATAGTCCTTGACAAGGACCCTGACTCGTATTGCTTATGGGATATTATATAATTTGTTCTAACTGGTAGTAATGCTTTTTGCAGTCTGTAGCAGTAGCAGTTGTTGTAGTGCTGCAGTAGTATCATTATTCGTTTTCTAATGAGGATAATATGCAATAGAGAATATTTATGTTATCATAAACACTCAGATTACCAATATCTTAACACGCTATCATTATTATCATCATCATGCTATTGTTATAACTACTTTTAACCACACCATCTGCATATCAACAAAACAATACTAAGTTCCTTATAATCACCCCCCCCACCACCTCCATAAAAAAAAACGCAAATTCAAATCCAATCTGCAAGAAATCCTAACCAACAGAAAAGGGAGGAAGGAAAGGAGAGAAAAAAAAAGAAAGAAAAAGAAAAGAAAAGAAATAGAAAGAGAGAAAGAAAAAGAAAAGAAAAGAAATAGAAAAGAGAGAAAGAAAAGAACGAAGAAAACCCAGCAGCAAAGACCTCAGTAGAAAGCAGCTGTCGTTTCCCCGTTCCTATTATTCCACGCCAATCCTTCTTCGCCGACGGAGTGGGATCAAAGAGTCTTCGATAACACAGACAAAAAGAGGGAATCTAATCGTCTTCATTGCGTTATTCTTTCGTTTTTCTTTCTCTTTTTTTTGCACGATGGAGTTCGCGATGAAACCAATTCACACTCCACTAATTAAACCGCCACAGTATCTCTCTTATCGCAAGAACATGGCTGAACAAACAAATAAAACAGCTGGCAGTCGGATCGTCTTATCGTTGCGAAACAAACGAACAACGTTTAGAACAGATATTAGTAGGTAAATATGCCATGTTCGCGGTATACGATGATGTTTCTTTTGCACACATGAGATGAGGAGGAAAGTGATTGATGGCAATAATGCAGAGGGCCGTGTTGAGTTCACTTCGACTTTTGCTTCTTTTTTCTTATTTCTCTTCCTCTGGTTCTCTTCTTTATCCTCCTCCTCCTTCGTCCATTCTTCTTCTTCTTCTTCTTCTTACTTCTTTTTTTCTTTTTTTTCTCTTCTTCTTCTTCTTCTTCCTCACCTTCTTCTTATTATTATTATTATTCTCCTTCTCATTCTCATTATTATTATTATCATTATTGTTATTATTATTATTGTTATTATTATTATTATTATTCTCCTTCTCCTTCTTCTTCCTCTTCTTCTTCTTCTTTCTCTTCTTCTTCTTCTTCTTCTTCCTCTCCTTGTCCTTGTCCATGTCCTTCTCCTTCTTATTATTATTTCTTCTCCTTCTTCTTCTCCTTCTCCTTCTTCTTCTTCTCCTTCTCCTTCTCCTTCTTCTTCTCCTTCTCCTTCTTCTTCTTCTCCTTCTTCTTCTTCTTCATCATCATCATTACCATCATCATCATCAATATCGCTCTTATATCTCCTCACCCTGTGTCATTATCACCATCATCACCATCACCTTCATCATCATTATCTTCATCTGCATCATCACCATCATCCTCATCATCACCATTATGATCATAATCAACATCTCTCTTATAATCATGATCATCACTACTACTGATATCACTGATAACTTTACGGCCAGTTTCTAATTATCATTAAACTATTAAGCTAATCATTATTATTTGTTTATTTACCCTGCGCGTGGTCGCCTCACCCCGTGTCCTGAATTCACTGTTGATGTCATTGCAGTTAGTGAAAGTGTCCCTGAATCATCATGCTACACTCATCACTATAGCTCATGTCATTATCATAATGGTTAATTACCATATGTTCAGTCTGTTTTAAAGTAATTATCGTGTAATAGCATTCTTATTATTTACATTATTATTTTTTTTTATCAATTCTGTGACTTCATTACCCTTTTCATTATTCTTCTCATCACTATCACCATTTTCTTCACCATCATCTTCTCCACCATCACCATCCTCCTCCCCATCCTCCACTCCCCCATCACCATTCTCCTCCCCATCATCCCCTCTACCATCACCATCCTCCTCACCATCATCCTCTCCATCACCATCCTCATCATCACCATCCTCATCATCATCATCCTCTCCACCATCACCATCACCCTCTCCACCATCCCCTCTACCATCACCATCCTCCTCACCATCATCCTCTCCATCACCATCCTCATCATCATCATCCTCTCCACCATCACCATCACCCTCTCCACCATCCCCTCTACCATCACCATCCTCCTCACCATCATCCTCTCCATCACCATCCTCCTCCCCATCACCCTCTCCACCATCACCATCTTCCTCACCATCACCCTCTCCACCATCACCATTCTCCTTACCATCACCCTCTCCACCATCATTCCCTCCACCATCACCATTTCCATCACCATTACACCCTCGAGTCCAAGAAGCCTCCAGCT